AAATTTTTCACAAGCCACAGATCTTCCAAACATTCTGACCCTAAAATAGCTTTTTTCAGATTGACCTATCAGGAGAAAATTTACTTTATTCGAGACCTGTTTTTGTCTCAGCAACAAACTCTCATGAAATTTCACAACACAAATCTCGTCTCTCTGTCGGTTGTGGTCTGGTTTCACTGCTGCAGTGCTGCTGGCATCGCTGTCATTGTCAAAAAACTCTTTGGTTAAGGTCAGTGAAAGATGGCGGTTTTAGTTAATTTAGTCCTGAATTAAACCAGACCAGGGTCTTTCCCTAGCCTGAACCGGGATCTGTGAGAGTCTGAACAGAACCAGAAAACCTTTTAATGAAGCTGGAGTCCCTACAGGTGGACATTGTTCTGCAACATCAGATATTCTGGTGGAAAACAAAGACATTGTCTGTGAACATTTTACTGAGACATTCAGTATCAATAATGTGTGTGTGTGTAGGACTCTTCTGAGTCCTCAGACTTTATGTAAATACTAACTGCTGAAGCAGCCCTGTACGCTTGGTGCTTGGTGATGATTCATGATTTTCTTTCCTGTAATTCATAAAAAGACTAAAACTCACTAAGACTGGGAAAACTGATCACATCCCCCCAGTTTTCACATCTTTACACAGGCCACCTATTTGTTAAATCTGACTTTAAAATTCTACAGTTTGTTCATAAAGCACTGAAGGATTTAGGGCCAAAACATATTTCTGGACTGCTGCTTGGTTGTGAAGCGTCCAGACCTCTCAGATGGTCTGGACCAGGTCTGTTTCTGTCCCCAGAGTCAAAACTAAACCTGGAAGGGCAGTGTTCACTTTTTAATGGATCTGAACAAATTTCCAGCTCTCACTTCATTTAATCAGGATGATTTATTCATATTTTGCACTGCAATTTCTAATCTCCTGATTTATGTTTTATTCTAATTGAGTTTCTATCTTATTTTACTCTTTTAATCCTGTTTCAATATGTCTTTTTGTATTGTCTTATTATTAGTTTCTCTTCTTTGTGTTTCATGTTTTAACTGTCTTGCTGCTTTACATATAAACCCACCTTTCCTAAAACCTGATTTAAACTACATATTTTTAAAGCACCACACGTATAAAACGGCACCACCTCAATGGCTGTTGCTGTGAATATTTAAAACATATAATGCTTATGGACAGTTATTGACTGTCAGTAGCAGATGGCAATGATGAAGCACAGCGCTGCCACTTTAATAATTGGTTTCAGCGGGCAGGGCTGAATTTTCTGCACTCTCCAGTTCATGTGCTCGTACTGTTTGTGTGTCCTGACATTAGCCTAACATCTGTAGACAGCTGGCTAGCTAACGTTCCAGATTTGTTGAATGATTGTATAACTATGTTCCATCTGCATAACAATGGTATTTGACATTGTGATGACTGATGATGACTGTGATGCGTGTTACGAGAAACTCCATCATATTTCCAGAGAAGAAGAAAAAACTACGTAAACTAGTGAAGTAGGAACAAATAGAAAAGATAAACAGGAGCCAGGTTTCATCACATGGAGCAGATTCCTGCAGCAGGTTCAACATCTGCTGGACAGATGTGAATCCAGAGTTTGTTTTAGCAGCACATTAAAGGTGTTGCACTGTCACATATGGAGGGAACGTTCGGTTGTCTACAAACTTTTGGCCATGATGTGTAAGGCTGATTGAGATTTGGAGTGAGAGAAGAAGAAGAAGAGCGGGATAAATCG